TATGCACATATGTGCATGCATAATACATATACATACATGCATATGTTACATACAATATCCTAGGATGTATTAAAAAATCTGATTCTTGCTGGGTATCAGTGGCCTATGATGTAATCCTAGCTACTCAGGAGGCTGGGATCTGAGAATCATAGATCAAAGCCAGCCTAAGCAGGTAAATCTGGGAGGTTCTTAACTCCAATTAACCAGTAAAAAGATGGAAGTGGAGTATGGTTCAAGTGGTAGAACATCAGCCATGAGCAAAAATGTCTAGTGAAAGCTCAAGGCCTGAGTTCAAGCCCCAGTACTGACATAAATGGTACACCACATGTTTAGCATTAAAAAGCCAAAAGTAAAGGTGTAGCTCAAGTGGTAGAGCACTAACCTTCAGGAAAAAAATAGAAAGAATAGCACTCAGGCCCTGAGTTCAAGTCCCTAGAACAATGCCCCCCCCACATACACACACATGCACACACACACACACACTTATATATGGTGTTTCCATTTAGTGAGATACCTGGAAGGGTCAAGTTCTGAGACAGGAAGTAGACAGGTTACTAGTAGGAGCTGTGAGAAGGAACGAAGAGGAGGTTCTATTTAGCAGATGTAAAGCCCCACCTTGAATGGTAGACTTCCTCTGGAGATAAATGGTGATGTCTGATGGTATAAAGGTAGGAAATGTAAAACTGAAATATACACCTAAATTGGTTACAGTGTTACTTCTACCTACTTTTCTTCTGTGCCAACACTGGGGCTTGAACTCAGGGCCTTGTGCTTCTCACTTAGCTTTTTTGACATGAACCATCGGTGACCAGCCTCTTATGTACATTTTGCCACCTTAAAAATAGATAAAACAGTTGGACACTGGTGGCTCACGCCTGTAATATGAGCTGCTAGGAGATATTATCTGAGGATAACACTTCGAAGCCAGCCCAGGCAGGAAAGTCTGTGAGACCTTTTATCTCTAATAAACTACTCAATAAAAGCTCAAAGTAAAACTGTGGCTCAGTGGTAAAACGTTAACCTTGAACAAAAAGCTCATGGACAGCACCCACACAGAGTTCAAGCCCCAGGACCAGCACAAAAAGAAAAAAAAAAGAGTTAAAACAAACTGGGCACCAATGGCTCACACTTCTAATTCTAGCTGCTCAGGAGGCTGAGACTGGAGTACGTAAGATTCCATCTCCACTAATCATCAAAAAGCCAAACTAGAGACATGGCTCAAGTGGTAGAGCACCAGTGTGAGCAAGAACACCCAGGGAAAGAGCAAGTCCCTAAGTTCAAACCTCAGTACCAAGCCGGGTGCCAGTGGCTCACGCCTGTAATCCTAGCTACTCAGGAGGCTGAGATCTGAGGATGACGGTTCAAAGCCAGCCCGGGCAGGAAAGTCCATGAGACTCTTATCTCCAATAAAAACCACTAGAAAACTGGAAGGGGCATTGTAGCTCAAGTGGTAGAACGCTCACCTTGAGCTGAAGAGCTGAGGGACAGCACCCAGGCCCAGAGTTCAAGCCCCACAACTGACAAAAAAACAAAACAAAACAAACCCCAGTACCAGCAAAACCAAATGAAAAAACAACAACAAAAAAAGTTGAGGGGTTGGAAACATGGAACACTTGATAGCTCACTAGCCAATGAGTGAAAGCATCAGGTACCACCAAGTTGGAGTCCCGGTCTCAGATTAAAAAAAAAAAGCTGAAATGAAACATTTTATGATAGATATGTTTTCATACAATTTTAAAGACTTTTACGTGGGCTGGGAAGGTGGTTCAGTGGTAGAGTGCTCGCCTTGCATGCATGAAGCACCACATAAGCAGAAAAAGAAAAAGCCGGAAGTGGCGCTGTGGCTCAAGTGGTAGAGCCCTAGCCTTGAGTTGCAGAGCTGAGGGACAGAGCCCAGGCCTAGAGTTCTGGCCCCACAAGACTTTTAATTTCCTTAGAAACATTCACATGCACTGGTGGCTCATGCCTAGCTATTCAGGAGGTTGAGATCTGAGGATCACAGAGGAAGGAAAGTCTGTGACACCTTTATCTCCAACTGGCCAGCAAAAAAGGCAGAAGTAGAAGTGTGGTTCATGTGGTAGACCACCAGCCTTGAGTAGAAAAGCTAAGAAAAAGAGTTTAGCCCCAGGGCTGGGTTGTAGCTCAGTGGCAAAGCTCTTGCCTAGCAAGCGCAACGTCGTGGGTTCAATCCCCAGTACCAAAAAAGAAAAGACAAAAAAAAAGAGTTTGGCCCCAGTACTGGCACAAAAATAAACAAATTAAACAGGCAGACATCATCACTGTAACCTTCCTCCTCCATGCGAGATTTCCCTTATGGTCACTCTCAGTCAACTGTGATACAAAAATATTACATGGAAAATTCCAGAAATACTCATTAGGTTTCAAGAATTTTTCTGACAGTACATTTGTTAGAATTGTCTGTTCTAGGTAGGTGCTGGTAGCTAACACCTTGTAATCCTAGCTACTTAGTAGGCTGAGATCTGAGGATTGTGGCTCAAAGCCAGCCTAGGCAGGAAAGTCCATGAGACTTTTTGTTTTTGGGGGGTCCGGTTGTGGGCCTGAACTCTGGGCCTGGGCACTGTCCCTCAGCAGTTCAGCTTAAGGCTAGCGCTCTACCACTTGAGCCACAGTGCCACTTCTGGCTTTTTTTCTTCTGCTTAGGTGGTGCTGAGGAATCGAACCCAGGGCCTCATGCATGCAAGGCAAGTGCTTTACCACTGAGCCACATTCTCAGCCCTCCATGAGACTCTTATCTCCAATTAACCACCAGAAAACCCAAAGTGGTGTTGTGACTCAATTGGTAGAGTACTTGCCTTGAAGGGCTCAGGGATATCACACAGGTCCAGAGTTCAAACCCCAAGACGGACCAAAAAACAAAAACAAAAAAGAATTATCTGTTCTGTTTTTGTCCCAGTAATAAGAACTCAGGACCTGAGCACTGTCCCTTTAGTTTTTTCTACTCAAAGCTGATCTCTACCAGCTCTATCACTAACTTTTTGGTGGTTAATTAGAAATAAGAGTCTCATAGACTTTCTTGCCAAGGCTGGCTTCAAACCATGATCCTTAGATCTCTGTCTCCTCAGTAGTTAGGAGTACAGGTGTGAGTCACCAGTACCTGGCTTATAATTATTCTAGGTTATTATTTTTTTAATTTTTATTTTTATTGGTATTCTAAAGGTGATATACAGAGAGATTACATTACAAAAATCAGGTAATGAGTACATTTCTTTCTGGACAATGTCCCCTTCCCTAGCTTTCTCCCAGTTTTTCCTTCCTGTTCCCACAAGTTGTTTAGTTGATTTTCAACATAGTATCAAGTACTACTGTTGCTTCTGTTCACCCTTTGTCCTTCCATTTCTATGCCTAGTTATTATTTTTGTTATCCTCTTACTGGGCCAACTCTGTCAGGTGACCTTTATCATAGGCGCATGCACATACACACATACACACGGGAGAATGTAATGGACACAAGGTTCAATAGTATCTGTGTTTTGGGGCATCTACTGGGGGCAGATCTTACAATAGACCCTCCCCAAAAACAATTGGGAATGAATGGACATATTGATAATGTATTTTCACTGCATGGGTAAAGTCTGTTCTGACAGGAGCAGGTGTTTACTGCTGTGGCTGTGGCCATTCACATGGGAAGATTACCCATTAACCACAAGAACACCACAGACGGATGCCCTGCTATGACCCATTAAGCAAGTCTCCTGAGGGGAAGCTGATCCAAGGCTGGAAACTGGCTGGGCCCCAGAGGCTGGGGAGGCTCCAAGCCTCTGTTTAGCTGGGATCTGTGGTGCCATGGGATGGGGCTGAAGCCATGTGTGACAGACCTGCTGGACACATACCTGCAGCTTTCTGGAAAGCATCCACAGCACTCTCTAGCCCAGCTTGTGTCTGCCGATCACACCGGGTTCCGATCTGAGTGTAGAGGGCTCCAGTGTTGAACAGGATGCTAGCTTTCTCTAGCAGCAGGTTCTGCTGGCTCACAGGGACCCCAGTAAGGGAGTCATACCTAGTTTAGAAAAAACAAAACAAAGCAAAGCAAAACAAAACTCAATGGGATGGAAAACTAGGAGAGAGCGAGGGAAGGGGTGATATTGTCCAACAAGAATATGTAACTGTGATCACCCTATACATCACTCTTTTTTTTTTTGGGGGGGGTCTAGTCGTGGGGCCTGAACTCTGGGCCTGGGCGCTGTCCCTCAGCTCTTCAGCTCAAGGCTAGTACTCTACCACTTGAGCCACGCACAGCGCCACTTCCAGCTTTATTCTTTTTGCTTATGTAGTGCTAAGGAATCGAACCCAGGGCCTCATGCATGCAAGGCAAGCGCTCTACCACTGAGCCACTTTCCCAGCCCTATACATCACTCTTATAATAACAACAACAAAAAACCCTCAGCTGAGAATGTGGGTGATTTGGTCACTTCTTATCACTTCTGAATAAATGGATAAAATACACATGCAAGAAGCTATGATACTGGGCTGGTAGAGCGCTTGCCTTGCATGCCTGAGGCCCTGGGTTCAATTCCCCAGCACCACATAAGCAAAAAGAAAAAAGCCGCAAGTGGCGCTGTGGCTCAAGTGGTAGAGTGCTAGCCTTGAGCTGAAGAGCTGAGGGACAGCGCCCAGGCCCAGAGTTCAGGCCCCACAACCCGACCCAAAAAAAAAAAAAAAAAAAAAAGAAGCTATGATACTGATTAAAAACCCTCCCACAAAGCTGGGTGCTGGTGGCTCATGCCTGTAATCCTACCTGAGGAGGCTGAGATCTAAGAATCTGGGTTCAAAGTCAGCCCAGGCAGGAAATCCCTGAGACTCCCTTTTTTTTTTTTTTGCCAGTCATGGGGCCTGAACTCTGGGCCTGGGCACTGTCGCTCAGCTTTTCAGCTCAAAGTGAGCACTCTACCACTTGAGCCACAGCACCACTTCTGGCTTTTTCTGCTTATGTGGTGATGAGGAATCGAACCCAGGCCTCAGGCATGCAAGGCAAGCCCTCTATCACTGAGCCATCTTTCCAGCCCCTACTTGAGACTCTTATCTCCAGTTAACCACCACAAAACCAGAAGTGGAGCTGTGGCTCAAGTGATACAGCACTCCTCTGGAGCCAAAGAGCTCAGGGACAATGCCCAGGCCCAGAGTTCAAGCACCATGCCCAACAACAAAGACCCTCCCACAAGTTGGTCCAGTGGAGTACCAGTGTAATGCCAGCACTTGAAAGGCTATTACGAAAGGATCTTCAGTTCCTAAACAGCCTGGGCTACAGCAGAAAGACTCCTTTTCTTTTCTTTTTTGTCGGTCATGGGGCTTGAACACTGGGCCAGAGTGCTTTCCCTGCACTCTTCAGCTCAAGGCGAGCGTTCTACCCCTTGAGCCACAGCACCACTCCCAGTTTTCTAGTGGTTTACTAGCGATAAGAATCTCAAGGCCTTTCCTGCCAGGGCTGGCTTTGAACTGTGATCCTCAGATCTCAGTCTCCTGAGTAGCTAGTATTACAGGCATGAGCCACTGGCGCCTGGCAGAAAGACTCTTCTGAAAGACTCCTTTGGACAATTAATAGATAGTTTAACAAAATGAATACCAGGAAGTTGAAATATGTCTTGTCTGAGTGGGGAATGCGGGGAGGGACATAGATGAATGGAAAAAAGAAGGGTGAGTGAATGCAGTCACAACATGCTTTTTTTTTTTTTTTTTTGGTCAGTCGTGAGACTTGAACACTGGGCCTGGGTGCTGTCCCTCAGCTCTTCAGCTCAAGGCTAGCACTCTACTACTAGAGTCACAGCACCACTTCCAGTTTTCTGGTGGATACTTGGAGATAAGAGTCTCATGGACTTTCCTGCCCTGGCTGGCTTTGAACCATGATCCTCAGATCTCAGCCTCCTGTGTAGCTTGGATTACAGGCATGAGCCACCAGCTCCCAGCTTTTTTTTTTTTTTGGTGCCAGTCCTGGGGATTGAACACAGGGCCGGCACTGTTTCTGACCCTTTGTGTTCAAGGCTAGCACTCTATCACTTGATCCACAGCTCCACTTCTAGCTTATTTTGGCAGCTTAATTGGAAATTAAGAGTCTCACAAACTTTCCTGCCCAGGCTGGCTTTGAACCATGATCCTCGTATCTCAGCCTCCTGAGTAGTTAAGATTACAGGTGTGAACCACCAGTGCCCAGCTTGCAGTCATAATATTCAATGTATAATGTGAAAATGTAACCAGGTTACTTCAGGGGATGGGTGGAATTGGGATAAATGGGGGTGGGGATGGAAAGTGTGACAGTGATCGATATGCATTTGTACTCATATATTGATGTACTGAATTGAAACTTCCTTTGTACAACCACTTTGTGTGTGTGTGTGCATGCCAGTATTAGGGCTTGAACTTAGAGCCTGGGGACTGTCCCTTAGGTTTTTTGCTCAAGGCTTATGCTCTACTATCTAAGATATACAGCTCCACTCCAGCTTCTAGGTAGTTAAGTGGAGATAAGAATCTCACAAACATCCAGACACTGGTAGCTCACACCTGTAATCCCAACTACTCAGCATACATCCGAGGAATGCAGTCCAAAGCCTGCTTGAGCAGGAAAGTCTGTGAAACTCTCATCTCCAATTTACCACCAGAAAACCAGAAGTGAGCTGTGGCTCAAAGTGGTAGAGCACTAGCCTTAGCAGAAGAGTTCAGGGACAGCGCCCAGGCCCTGAGTTCAAGCCTCACAACCAAAAAAAAAAAAAAAAAAGACTCTCAGAGACTTTCCAGCATAGGCTGGCTTTGAACTGAGATCCTCAAATCCTAGCCACCTGAGTAGCTAGGGCCAGTTTCACCACTGGATCTGCTGCTTAAATGCTACTTCGGAAGCAGGATCCTATGTGAGATGGGTGCTAGGAACATGGACCTATGAAAGTCCTGTAAAGACACTCAGCCACCTTACCAGGTAAACAAGAGCCCCATCTGGCAGGTGGGCGGGAAGAATCTGCTCTCCACAAAGCCCAGCTGGATGAAGTAGGACATTAGCAGTTCAACCCCAGCCTCATCCCGGCTGGGTGTCCGACAAGCCTAAGAGGGAAAAGAAAGACAGTAGTGTGAACAAAAGATGGAACCCATGGCCTGTATATGCACACAAACAGATGGTATTTCTGTAATGTGTGGTACCCAATATCGGCATCATGAACCCTAGGAAAGGTACAAAGGGACTGGGGTGAAGTCAGAAATCTTGGGATCCAGCCCCAGACCCAACACTAGAAGGACTCTCCTATGTTTTTCTTTTTTTTTGGTCTTGTCTTTTAGTCTGTTGTGGGGCCTGGAGAC